TTTGTGGAAACACCCAGTATACATTTTAAGTTAACCTATTACACATTGTGATCTATTTCCAAAGAATAATTGACCAGAGAAAAGCAGTTCCGCCATAAGTTCTGAAGACAGACTGTGTACAAAGTGTGGAGAAAAATATGCCTACATTTAGGCCATTTTTTAGCTCTAGAAGTAATGGTTTTTGTATTTTCAGAATTAGAATTATTTTTATCAAAACTAAAACTTTGAGGCTGCTGTATAAAAGATCTTTTTGGAATATCTAGTCTAGAACCATATTCATGTGGCCTGGTTAGAAAAGTGTTCTTACATTTATTATTTAATTCAGTTAAGTAGTTTAAAAGTTATTGATTAGGTAAATGTATAAAAGAGTAGAAAATAAAATATTATAACATACAGGGTGATTCTTAACCTATACACATAAATTTGGGAAATGGTAGCTGAGGACAAATAATGATTAATAGTGAAAATAAAAGTTTAATGAAATATTTTTAGTTTCAGAGATGCAAGTTCATTTAAGTTACAAAAATTGTTAAACATACATTGGTGTATTTTGAATGTTGTGCTTAAATCTATTTACAGAAGAATCAAATATTATAATATAATAATAACTGTCATTTATTAAACTGAAAATTCAGTCCAATAGGCTATCGACCGAAGTCCTTCTGCCTATTGTACTGCATACAGATGGGGTTATAAATATTTTATATCACAGATAAAGAAACATGATTTGAATGAAAAAAAAAAATTATAACAATTTGCTTATTAATAGGAGATATTGTATATTGTGCATCTTCTCTAATGTTGTTTGTCTTGGATGCTGGGATGAGGGATGGATGGTGGGGTTCCTTTCAACACAGTATTTTGATATTTCTTGTATGTTTCCTGGTAATTTTTCTTAAGGCGGATGTTTCAGCGACTTGGATCATTTTTAAGGCCCTCTGTTTAGTGCTTAGAAATATTGGATGACCATATTCAATCATTGGGCGGCATATCATTTTGTAAATTTTACTAGCTGTACTAGTGTTTATTCCTCGTCCTTTGTGTGTTAAGCCAGTAAAATGTGCAGCTCTGTCTATCATACTCTTCTTTTTGTTGAAGTTTGTTTTGGTATCGAATGTAATACCTAAATTAATGATGGGTTCTGGATGCAATAAATTATGATAAAAGGCTATGGTTGAAGATATTGGAGAAGGATGATGATTGATTATTATAAATTGGCAATTCCTTGGATTTGGTTTTAGTCGCCATTTTTTGAACCATACAGTAGTTAATGTGATAAGGTTTTCCAGCGAGTTGATTGTGTTTCTTAAAGTGTTGTTGTGGGCCACTAGGGCCGTGTCATTTGCATATTGTAATCTGTATAATATTATTCAGAGAATTTACCAGTCTAAGTATCTATACAACTGTTAAAAGTACTATCAAGTCTATAAAAAGGAATATATAATAATTATGATTGCCTGGGATTACAAGTAGGAACAAAAAGATTAATTTTCTATAGAATTTCAGGACAATCATATCTTCCATTAAAAATATTAAAAAGTTTCCCTCTCTGGTTTCCAGAGAGGAAATTTTTAAAAACTGCTCCATTGTAGTATAATCATAAAACGTTTGTAACTTAAAGGCAATGTAGGTACCTAAGGAAATTGTTCTGAACATGATCGATTTTTAATTTATAAGTTACATGATGTGGGGACCATATTGAAAAGCAATAATTGAGGAGACTCCTAACTAAACTACAATAAAGGGTTTTAATAGCAATTATATCAGTGAAGTTGCAGGTCATTCTTTTAATAAATCCTAACATTTTCATAGATTTACTTATAACTGAAGAGATATGGTGGTTAAAGCTAAGGGCTGTGTCGAAAATAACTCCAAGATCTTTAATTTGTTTAACACTGTCTAAAATTTGACCTTTGATTGTTTAGTCAAATATAGTGGGCTGTTGAGAAGGATGTAACTGAATAATGTGACATTTTCCCACATTTAAATCAATGTCCTATTTATACAAATCAGATAAATGATTAATATCAGACTGTAAATCAAAAGCATTATTAAATATGACGATTTGGAAAAATTTTAAGTCATCTGCAAAAAGTAAGAAATTACTGTGCCGAAAACAGGAAGTTACATCAATGACAAACAAATTAAAAAGAAGGGGTCCCAGATGGGAACCTTGGGGAACTCCAGAAGTAACAGAGTAATGATGAGAATAGTGATGTTTTACTTTGACTATTTGAGTTATATTAAGAAGATGTAGTCCTTTATGATGCTTTCAAAGAGCTTTGTTGGGATTATGCTAAGTTTAGATATGGGACAGTAGTTTTTAACGTCACATTTTTTAACAGACTTGTATATTGATGTCACATATGACTTTCCAGTAATCCGAAAAATCTCCCGTATCCAATGATTTGTTAAAAATAAAAAACAGAGGACGAAACAATATAAAGCTGCAGTTTTTCAGGAGTGAGGAAGGAATTGCAGGACCTAGTCCTTTATTTGTATCAAGTTTAGCCAAATTCTCGTAAATAGTTGAAATTGAAACATGATATCAGCATATATTAAGTTTTGATTCAATGTTACATTGATACAGATCGATATTCTGATTGGTGTAGGCTGAAGAAAAATAGTCAGCAAATAATCTAGCTATTTCTGAGCCCAAGGAAGTTTCAAATCCATCTAAATTCATTTTATCTGGAATAACAATATTCTGTTTTGCTGTTAACAAAATTCCAGAAGGCCTTAATATTACTTTTAACAGAGGTTTGAATAGAGTTTACATAATTTAAATAACACTCTTTGGACAAGAGTTTACAGCGAGCTCTTAGACTACTAAATAAGGCATAACTTTCAGATTTCGTACTTTTAAAAATATTATGAGCAATCTTCTTATCATAAATCAACTTTCTAAGATGCAGTGGATACCAGCATAGAATTTTTTTTATTGATAATTTTTAAGTGGAACAAATATTTCCATTGCTGAATACAGTGCATCATAGAAAGTATTTACCATTTCAAAAAATTATTCATTATGAAGGAATGTGTCCTAGTCAATGGCTTTAAAATACTGGTATATGGGTGTAAAATCGGTATTACAAAAGTCACAGTAATATTCTTCATTGTGCACAGTGTCGATATTTGTCTTGTATTGAAGAGTGGCTTCAAGCATCAAGTGGGATCAGAACATCAATAGCCTTGCAAACAGTAAGTTCAAATTGGGAAAGAACAAGATCCAGAAGAACTCCACTTTCGTTAACAATTTTGTTTAATTGGAAGAGGTTTTGAGAAGCACAAAGGTTTGAAATAGCCTCTATAGCCTCAGTATCTGCTTGTGATGATAAATGAGATGAAGAAGCTGTGGAACAAAAGTCCTCAATACTCCATACAGCATTAGGGAGATTGTAATCTCCAAAACCAAAAATTTTAGTCTGGGTGGTGTACTTTTAATGTTTCAACTTGAACATAGTACATATGATATGAATTGGGATGAGAAGTAGGTGGTAGATATACTGTACCCAATATCTATAAATTTATTGTTTCCAATGGAGACAAATAATTGTTCAATTGCTGAGTTAGATGGAATAAGGCAGCTAAAAAACAATTTCTCTGCTGCAATCAAGACACCCCCTCCTCTGCTCGAAGCACTCGACTCAGCTGTGCAATCTTGTCTGTAGATTTTTTAGTTATAAAGACCTAGTTCAGCATCTGCAATATCGGCAAATAACCAAGTTTCAGTGAAAATAATTATATCATAGGAACAATGTGAGATATTAAGGCAAAGTTTAGATAATTTGGTGCATAATCCTCTAACATTCTGGTAGTACAAAGAGAGCACAATTCAATGGGCTTTATTAGTTTTTTTTTTTGTTTTGTACGATTTTAGGAACATTGTTAAAATATTTTATTTGTTATCTTCGAAACTAAAAATATTTTATTAAACTTGTTTTTCACTATTAATCATAATTGTCATCAGCTATCATTCCCCCAATTTACGCCTATATGTTAAGAATCACCCTGTATATATGGACTTATAAATTTTATGTTCCATAATACTTGTTATCAGATAACTTTTTGTTTCATCTACATAAAATATTTTTATAACCAGCTCAAGGTAGGTCCTATATTTTATAATGGAAAGAATAGGTATAAGATTCTATTTTTGAACTTCAAAAATCTGATTAAATGTATTTTAAATTCTGAAGATTTATTTTGAAGTTCTTGGCATGTTTAAAAAACTAAATTAAGATACCTCTAAAAAACTTGCTTGTAACATTTTATATCTGTTTATGTAATGTTATATTGTTGTTTATATTTATGTTTATGTTATTGTAACCTATTTTTCTCATTCCCAGTCTGTTATTGGATAGTGTTATCACAAATAAATAAATACCTACTGCATTTTTTATTTAGACTATACTTTATTTATTTTTATAGTAAGGAGTAAGATTGCCAAACACAGAAGACAATAAAATGAAAAATAAGTAATTTAGAAGATAGGATTAAATGTTTCACTGATAAAAGTAAATTTAAATGTTTGATAAGATTCAATACCCAATAAATATTACTTAAGGATTTTATAAAGTAGGTACCTATAAGTATTTACAAGAAACATAAATGGCAAAATAAATATAATCAGCTAGCAAAACATAATGACCTTTAAAAACAAAGATAACCATTTAACAAATTATTATGTGCCAAACATTTTATAATTAAATAAAAAACAATTATTGGATACAGTAGCATTTCCTAAAAAAGTTGTAGTTAAACAAAGAACCTGTTATTTAATGGAAGTTTGGTTATCTTTATGCAAATGCTATTGAATTAACATCATTTATGGTAGTATACCTACCTTATTATGTATGTACCACTTATGTTGGTTCATTTTAATAACAAATACCTGCCTTAAGTAAAAGAAAATGATCTTTAATACGGGATTAGAAAAAGGTTCGACGAAGAATCTATTTTTAACTCTACGAAATAGAACCAAATTTAATATTTTAAACATGGGAATTAATAAAAAGGAATTAATTCAAGTGAAAAAGGGTTCTAAATTAGGTGCCCGTATTTGTTTTGATTGGAATTTCGTGTATTAATTAGGTAGTATTTATGTCGATATTTACCAATTTACATGGACAGTCCTTGAAATATTTGATCTGAACTCAATAAAACCCATATTTTAAATGATAAGGTCCGATTGACAGTATCACAGGCAGTATACATAGAGCCAGGTGGTCATTCAAACAACAATGCACATTTTCAGTCAATTAGAACACCAATTCACTATAAACCAAACACGAAAATTATAATAATATATTTTTCGAAGATTCGTAACATACTTAAACAACGACACTTTGTACAAATTTTTATTTTAATACTTGATTAGGAATATTTAACCCAGCATAGACTTTGTTGTAGCCATGTTTTTGCATTCTCTCTACCTACAGCGTTGACGTTTACATAAACATATCCGATCTTGAATGTACTAGATTTACAATATAAATAATTTATTTCTTAGTTTCGAACGAAAATTTCACTTATTACAAAAAAAAATTACTAAAATATAACTTTCAGTGGGGTATAAAAATCATTATTGAGTCTAATATTTACATCAAAAACCATTTTTTAAATCTAGAAATCTAGTACTGTAATAAATGCGGCAACGTAGCGAAAAATAGTGTTTTCTGCTTAAAAGGGAGTCTCTTACTTACCGATCGAGAAAGGACGGGTTCAAAAGCCTACTAATGGATTCGCAAAATTTATAACTCTGAGCTTAGGCAACACGTTTAACACATATCCGTAAGTATGGTTATCTATGCAATAGGAAACAATTATATTTTATTGCAATGATTGTACTGTTTTTGTAATAAAAATAATTTTAAAAAACCGACTTCAAAATTGTGCAGATGCCCTTAAAAATTGAGATTTTCAAGTTTCTCATAAATCATCAAATCCTGATCAATTGTAGACGGAATTATCTCAGAGGTATCCCCTTTCTAACAAAAAAGATTCATAGCAATCGGACAACGTGGTAACGAATTATAGCTGAAAATACATAAAAAATAAAGATTTAAAAACTACTATAGAAAGAATAATAAAAGGACAATTTTCAAATAGTCTAAAATGTTCAAAAATTGTGTATTTTTGTCCAATCTGATAACCGTTTTGTTTAGATGAAAGTATGGAATTTTTGGAGTTTTGTTTTATTATAGGTAGGTATTTGAAAATATAACAGACCGTTTGAAAAATATACTATTTTGGTTTACTGGGTTCATGTTTAGCATAAATTAAATATAGGTAAACAAAGATTGGAGGTAGGTCATTTCGTTTGATATATAAATAACAACTATAGGATATTATTATTATGCTACTAAAATATACATTTATAAATTCCCGAAACAGGTCGATATCTGATTTCAATTTACTGTTGTTTTAAAATAATAATCTAATAAGTATACTGAGTGAACTACCTTCGTGTAATGACGTCTTCGCCATTTATATAAAGCCAGCCCTGCTCTAGTAGATTTAGTGCTAGTCTAGAAGCTCCTCGAACTTCTTTATCCACGTCAAGTAAGTGATCTGTGATCCACGCATCGGACTGCGAGAGATAACATTCGAATCGATTTCTCTAGTCTGGAGAAGGGTCTCGATATGGCCAGCGCTAGACTCCTTATTGTCGCGGGTACGGTAAACAAAGAACAGAATCGGCTTCAGCCGATCTCGCACGTTACTGCAAATTGGCATACAGAGGGGTCTATTCTGTAACAATTCCTTTATATTTAACTGCTTTTAAAAATAGTTTCTTCTTTACTTCTGTCATTATTTAAACGGATCTTTAAAATACATTAGAGGACTATCATAAAGAAATCTGTTTAAATAATGACAGAAGTAAATTAACGAATACGAACATATTTTTATAGGCCGCCAATATTTTTAAAGGCCGTTAAATATAAAGGAATTGTTACAGAATAGACCTCAGAGTGGGCAAAAATACAAAAATTATAAGTTACTTGAAAAATAAGTAATAAACAACGTAATAAGTAAATTGATAAACTATTAAAACACGGTCTAGGGGGCGGTCTAGAGTTATTTCAGCAATTCTAATATTTTTGTTAAGTGTATACTTAACATAGCTTTCTTTGATTATGTCCATTAAATTTGAAATCGATACTTCAAACCCTTCGGGAGATAATTTTTTTTTGTTAAAACTTGTGTTTTACTATATTCAAAGGCTGAAAATTGGTTTGTAAACAAATTTTTTCTAAACCGATTCTGATTAATGACCACTTGCGAGGCAATATGGCCACTCGCAAACGACCCGCTTTGAGCAATCTATATCACAATATACCTATGTATCATTGGCCCTGTCAATGACAACAGGCCCACAGGGTTGCCATATCGAAACTGTTATTTCCCACTTGTCAGCATTTTGACAAGTCGTTGGAATGCCTAATATTTTTCATGATTCATAACATAACCTCAAACAATAATTGTTTATGTCTTATCTAACTGCTGCAAGTTGTGGTTTTTTAAACAACTCCTTTCCATTATTTTCCTCTATAATATCCACAAATAAAAAAATGATTTTACACAATATGCCACGCTTCATGGTATGACTATGATTTACATGAAAACACGAATATAAGACTACGACATATACATAAGTGAGCACTCTGGGCACCTATCCTCGACTAGTGCGTTTAAGCGCTCGCTTTGAAGAGATGCGAGTGGTTCATTGCGAAGACGCATTAGAAACCGTATTCTTAACCCTTCGTATCTGTGCCTTCGTAATCCTCTTTTATAAATGCGAATGGCAACTTGGCAACCATGTATGATCAACGATTATTTATGTTAAATTGTCTGCTAGAAAGGGGACTCAAAGTTCACACCGCTTGTTTTGTGAAAATTATTCGCGAAAAAGGAGCAATATTAATATGAGTAATGGTTTTGAGCATGAAGTCGTGGTTTTGGGTTGTTTTTTAATGCACTGTTTGGCTATACATAATTTGCAGCGTTATAAAATGGAAAATATTAGTAAAAAGACACATATAATTAACCGAAACAATCTGATAAACGCTTGATCAGAAAGTCTGAAAGGAGCTTTCCTATCATCATAAACTCTTCGAGGATGATTATTTGCCTCTTCTAATTTGTAATAAGATATTTAAAAATTTATATTTGCCATCATACCTATAGGTCACGATCAATTTATGAAACAAAACAAAAACACTGCAATATTAAAACGTGCATCCAGTTAGACCTTCGCAAGCTCTTTGGACCTTCGCATTTGAATGCGAAGAGCAAAAACCCACTCGCTGTCAAATGCGCACCCGCAATATAAATTCGAACGACCAAGAATAGCTACAACACGCTTTTGAGCAAATGCGCATTCGCATTTAGTAAATGCGCATTCGCATTGATTAAAGCACCAGTCGAGGATAGGTGCCCTGGTAATGTTCGAATTTAAATTATGGTGGTATCGCGAACATTCATTCGCCATAAATTAAAGTTTCTGGTGATTTCGCCACGGCTCCGCTACTTGTAACGAATTTTCTAGAAGCACCTCGCACCTCCGCCATTTTTTCAAATTCGTCATCGTTCTCATGCATACCATGAATGATTCACTAAGACTAGCCATAGGCGGCATTAAAAGCCCAAAAAGGCAGAGAGGAATTTAAAGGATTATAACATTACCAGATTGGTCGGAAATGGCTCGCATTACAGTATTATTTTTTTGAAAGTATTTTATTACTATTTTTTTTCATTTGACGATAAAAACTGTCAAATGACAAGTTTGTCTTGTTAACGCTTTGAAGTATGTACGTTTACGTGAAATTTATCTAATCTAATTTATCATATATTTTACAATTGTTTTTTTGAAAATGCCTTTAAGTGAAAATAAGGTACCATACGTAAAGACTACAAAAATTAACACATGAGTTGTGAGAAATACAATTAATGGTCCATATTGTTTTGAAGAAAATATAACAGGAGCATTGTATCTAGATTTTCTATAAAATACATTAATTGTTGATTTGACCAAGCTTTTTTTTTGATATTCAAATAGCCAACAATTTGGAATGCAGAATCTGGTTTCAAGAGGATGTCGCATGGCCACATTACGCTTGAACTGTGCGCGAGTTTCTAAAAAGAATCTTTCCACTTCGGTGGATAGGAAGAAGGGGAAAAGTGGAATGGCCAGCTTGATCACCTGATCTGAGCCCATTAGACTTATTTTATGGGATTTATAAAATCTAAAGTCTATGTTAACAACATACCACAAAATATCCGTGAGCTAAAAGTCCAAATCAGGCAAGAAATGCAGAACATAACACCCGCTATGCTAAAAAATTTATGGTAGGTCAATGCAGATCAATTGAACATTTATTGTATATTTACTTCTGTTTGCTTTTAGTAGTACATCACAGTAATTTCATACTTTGTTTACTCCTTGCCCGCCATATGAAGTCTAGCGCTGGCCATATAGAGACAAACGCACCGCTTCGAGAAGCTACCGGAGTGATCCCTTTGCGGCGTATGAGTCATAGAGAGGTAGTTTCCGATCTTTCTGGAAAGTCGAGAGTGTTCTGGTACAAAGCTGGCTTTATATAAATAGCGCGAGTTTGTCGACGGATAAGAAAATTTAATTTAAGTGTTGAACAGTAGAGACAAATTGTAATAAATAAATTAGAATTGTGAGTTAGTGCCCAAGTGTTATATAAATTAATTGGTACGTTAAAAATAAATTGTAAATAAAGTGTTTTAAATAAATAAACTATAAATAAATTAAACAAACGTTACATTGTCTTATTTTGCAAGTAACTTGTAATTTTTATATTTTTGACCACCCTGTACCAATTTGAAACAAATACCTTGTATTTTACTGAAACATTTTTAAAATCAGCTCAGCAAGGGAAATCCAGAATTTAGAAAAAATTGGGTGTTCCATTTAAAAAGATGGTGATGACGTCATCATGTATATTAGATTATTGTTTCAGCAATTTTTATTAGTATTATTTAGCTAATAATGGATTTATGCGTTGCTTGATGAACGCACTGCATATACGTATATTGTATACCCAGAACTAAAACGACGGATGGTATGGGGTTCTGATAATGAATTCCTTTTGTCGAATTTCGCATTAAAGCGATGTCCACAATGTGGCATATACTTAAATAATTACCGTATAATAAAATTTGGATTTCTTTGAAATGTGACTGGGCATTAGAGGGGTTTAAATGGTCAGTGCCTACATCTACATAATCTAATGGCGTAGGGTGTCAATACTGTTAGACCACTCATACATACATAACTCAAAATATTCTGGGCATTCCAAATAAAATGGTTGTGGGCTTGATGGATTTGACAGATTCAGTTTATAGTTGTATATAGGTGGATCATCCGTATGTTTTCAAAACAAATAAAAGGTCA